TTTTCCTAATAAACAATCGTGGTACAAAGCTCAATAAAAATATTAAAGATATTCTTTATTGTTTTGATAATTTTTCTTAAATTCGAGAAAATGATTCCGAATATTGTACCATTTGTTACATTTTCCAAACTATATATTATACGTATTTACCACGAATAATAATAAAGAATTCACATAATGGAACTCCGCTGCTGGTACCTTCCTTTTATCTGTCTGTATGACAGTGTCCGCAACTGTATTCATGAAATCAGACATAAGAAAACGTCAAATATTTAAGAATGTGAACGTCAAACATATCTCGTTGTAGCAATGGAAACGGTTGTGATTTAGCAACTGGATTTATTAAATCTTGATAGGTAAATCTCGCAATGGAGACATAGTATAAGATTTTTAAAATATTTTCAATAAAATTTTATCAACCTAAATGTAAAGCTTATGCGAAGTAGTTATCTAATTTAATGAAAATTTTAAACATTTTGAAGATAAAACATGAATTATATTTAAAACGTAAATGTTAATACAACTGTTTTATATATAATCCCAAACATATGATATAAAATCGCCTCTACCAAAAAACTTAAATTGGGTAACGCCGGTTTGAATTTTTACAATTGAGCAATTGTCAAAAATCTTCCTTTTTATCAAAAAGTTATTTACCAGGGTGTCTTTGAACTAATGATTGGTACTGAGTTAAAGAATGCACACACATAAAAGATTGCAGCCTTTTCAATACTCATTCAGTGTTAAACCTTTTTTTGATTGGGCATTGGTTTTTTCAATCTTGCTATGAATATGTTGATGTGTGAATTCATAACTGCTTTGAGAGAATGGAAAATTCAAAAATTTTAAACCTCAATCCTAAGCGAAGAATAAGTAATGAAAACTGGATAGAAAAAAATTTTTGATTTAAAATTGAAAATGATTTCACACTTACACAGCTCTGTTCAGGTGTACCAATTTGTTGTAACGCTGCTAGTCGCTTAAAATTTTCTCCAATCCCGTCGCAAGTAGATTTTCCATGTGAACTGGAAACAAAGTTCCATTCTGCCATTTTTATGTAGGGATTTTCGTGATTTCGGACCTTAAGTAAAGTTAATATGACTTATTCATATTGTTTTTGTATTTTTTAAACACCTTTCCTCTTTCAAAAATATACAATTTCATAAAATTTCAATGTCTGTTTATCATATTGCTCGAGCGTTAGACGATCTAGAGTCCATACGCCTTCGTAGCCCATTACGCCTATTTGGGTACTTAAAGCTGACATTATAGACAATGTTTTCATGTAAACAAAAATTAAAAAAAAAAATTTAAATCAAAAAGAAAAATGTTTATCTACTTAATTTTTTTATACGGTGCACATTAATGTAAAAAATTTAAAATAAAGGCCCATAATAAGACGGAAGAAATACATTTTTTTTCCATTAAGATTCGTTAAATGGTTTGCAAGTTATGGCACTTTAAAGAAAGGTAAGTGACATATGACGTTTTCTTAAAATTTTGAAGTTCCGTGAAAATAGTCAACCCTACGTCGTATCGGCAAAATATGCTGCGCGTATATTCACCTAGACCTTCAATCTCTTCAACTTTCATCCAAATCCTTAGAGGTCGCTCACAGAGTTGGCCGCCTCAGTTAAGAAAAAATACGGATTTTCAAAACAAAAAATCCTAGTTTCTTGTCCTTAAAATCAAAATAGTTTTTTTCAGGAATCTGATTCGCATATTATTTGATAGAAAATTTAATCTTATTATTTTTGATTTTGATAATGATTTTGCTGAAACTGTTACTTTTAACAGTATTTAGCAGTTATCAGATCAGATGGTAGTGGATTAATTTTACTCCTCTCTCCGCTGTGCCATTAACTACTTTTAGACCTTCTACTATTTTTTCCTGGAACCATTGGCATCGAGTTTAAGGACAAAAAACTAAGTGCTTTTGCGAAAAAACGCTGTTTTCTTAACTTTAACCTTCATAAGGGACGTGTTAACATTATCTGTTTGGGTTGAACTAATGGCACATTTAATCAGGGTATTAATCATCAAGTTGTAAACGTCGTAAAACGGTTTTAACTAATACTCACGTATTTGTGTTCGTACGTCCTACTGGAATTTACTGTGATTTTTATTTTTCGAGTTTGATCAATAAAGATTAAAAAAAATAATCAATATTTGAGTTTTATTTTTTCGCTCAAAGGAAATTATTATCATGATAAAAATATAGTAAGGTAGAACCGCTGAGAGTCACTTTTCAAATTCTTGTCGTTTCCAAACAATTTAATTTTTAAATTTACTCACAAACTCACACACACATTTTCATTTTCAAACTCAAGCAACAACAATTTCGAACAATTTCATTTTTTTATTTTCACTTTTATATGGTTTTAAAATGTTGGCAAACTTCAAAAAAAATCATGGCCGACGAATTGAGAGAACGGTTCTACCTGGCTATATTTTTATCATGATTATTATTACTTGACTTTTATTTTTTCGCTCAAAGATAATAATTATTATTGAGTAAAGCATAAAGGCGTGCTACTTAGGTGTACATGGCGTATGAGTAACAGTATTTCCTGCTCATTTCTCATACAAAAAATCTTTACTTCTTGTACGAGTATTTACGATTACGGCCATATATAGGCTTGTGGCATAGCGAATAGCCATTGGCATTAACAAATTTTGTAAGAAATTGGAATTCAGCTTGAAAGGACCGCCGACTCCGATAAGTAACTAGCAAGGTATAATTTTTATCAGTTTTTTCATGCTCGCACCTACGGCTTTTAATGTGTCTGGCAAGATGAAAGAACTATCGAAACGGTCTGGCAATTGAGGAAACATCTTTTGATAATTCTCCAAGTGCCATATATAAAAATCAGCTTTTATACTATGACGAAAGTATAACTTCAATTTATCATGGTTTAAGGGTGGGTGTCTGGCAGGGGGTAGGAACCATGCTAAGTGTCTGGCAATGAACGACGTGGTTTCTAGTATTCTTAGGAGTAAAATATATAAAAACTGACCTCTATACTATCACGAATTTGAGGTGGTATTTTATACACCTTTTCTACCTGCTACCTACCAAAGTAACCACTATCCAAATTTCATAGTCTGGGTTCGTTATTACCTGTGTTGGGGGCATACATAGAGAAGCATTCAGCCTTTATAAAATAACGAAGGTCTGGCAGTCGCGGGCTCTTGGGCTATAAAGTTTATTTTTTAAGTTTTTTTAGCTTTTCAAAAATAATGATGATAACAACTTTTATGCCAAAAGTCAAGAAATTTTGATTTCAAATTACATTTAAATTTACTAACTTAAACTTTTTTCAGTGGCGAAACGTTTCATATCCACAGCCCGATTCCACTTCAGAACCACTGAGCGATGGCAGATAAGAGGTTTTCCATTACCCAAAGCACCACTACCTTGCACCTTGATTTGATGGTCACTTATTGAACAATAAACTTCGCCAAAATCAGTTTTTGCTATTAAACAAATGACTATAAGTGACCATCAAGTCAAGGTGCATGAATGGTATTTTGAAAGGCATAGTAGCGGAGAGTTCTAGCTTTAATTTGAGCCCAGGTGGAAGGTTCTATCCCCCTTTGTTTTTTTTGCTAGGGTTTCTCAAATATTGCGAAAATAGCGATACTTTTGATACTTTGGCCACGTTTTTCTCAAAATCTAAAGCTGATGGAAAATTTGTACTTACAGATTCGTAATCAGCACCAAAAAGTCTATCAAAAACAGCTTTAACATTTTAGGAAACAAAATTTTTTCCAATTTTTGTTGGCCTGTGTAATATTTGCATTAGTAAAAGTTACCATAGATAAAAAAGCGCCCGACGGATTTTGCTCTTTTTTTTTTTGGGAAATGTTCAGTGAGGTCCCCCAAATACATAGTAGCAACAGGAATCGGCGAAGGGAAGCAACTTGAGGTTTGAAATTGTTTCCCGGGTACCGTATTAAATCTGACTATGATTTATACTTAGTTTAAACGCCTCAGCTGGCTGGCTTAAACTAAGATTACCCAAATCAAATGTGGAGCAGCTATTAAATATGAATGCAGTTTACGTGGCCTAAGCTTTAACT